CTAATCTTATTGTATGTAAAAATCATAGTTAATCAAACGAGATTTACATTCTCCAAAACAAATCAAAACTAAAAAACAAAATGAAACAAATCATTGCCATTCTGGTTGTCCTCTTAGTTGCTGCTTGCACAGTGCATTGTTCAACTGATTCTTATATTGCTTCATCTTATGCATATCCATACGCTTATCCATATTCATATGGAGGATATGGAGCATACGGAGGATATGGAGCATATGGAGGTGTCAATTGCTATCCACCTGTTGCTTCAACTTATGCCTATGCAGTTGCTCCAGTTACCTATGCTGCTCCTGTGGCTGCAACCTATGCAGTTGCTGCACCAGTTGCCACTTATGCAGTTGCTCCAGTTTCATATGCTGCTCCTTATGCTTACCCATACGCCTATGCAAGACCTTGCTAAATTCAATTTGAATGCTCGAAAAAAGTATTGAGCCTTAGTTGTGATAATAAAGAAGAGTGTGATTTTGAATAACCTTAATGTAAAGCATTAGTAGTGTAACGGTATCATACCAGCCTTCCAAGCTGGTGACCCGGGTTCGACTCCCGGCTAATGCAATTCATTTTAACTTTTACTAAACAACTTCTTATTATGATTCAATTTATTGTCTACTAATTTCATAATAGGGAGTTGTTTGCATCAATTGTACATTCATATCTGATGTTGTTGTATTCCTTCTCTTTCTGTAAACAACAAGTGCCACAATAATAAAGGCAACAATGGCACAAACCATCACGCCACCACCAACAACTATTGGTAGAACAATGACAAGAATTTGTTCTATGGAGAATAGATTCGAATTGTTGTTTGGATCTGTTGAACCTGGGAGGGAGGTTACATTTGGAGTAATTGAGAATTTGCAATCCGTGGCAAGGAGATCAGTATTCGAAACCAACAAGTAGACATTATACGAATAGATATTCGAAATGATTCCATTTCCATTGGTGAGCTTGGCGTCAAAATGAATTAAATTCTGGTTTGGTAGTTAATCCACCAAAAATAAAACTGGTTTTAAACTCAACTTTCTTTTTGGAACTTGCAAAAACATGAAAAACTTGTTCTTGACCTTTCGTCAAAGTTAAAGTTTCTTCAAATCCTGTAACCATCAATATTGTCTTTTTGTTTCCATTATTATTATTGGATGGTTGAGGAGTAGGTGGAGTAGGTGGTTTAGGCTTCAATTTGGCAATAATATACAAATCATGATTTTGTGAATATGAATTGTCCAAGTCACAAATCAATTGATCCTTGGTGAGAGTCTTTTTAAGTGAAGTTAATGAATTATAAGCAATAAATTGGCATGTCAATGTATCTATATCTATATCAACCATTTTATAGCTAAAATCAAGATAATATTGTGATTTCTCATAAGAAATAGAGACAGATGACTGAGTTAGAGTAATGTTACTGGTGTGACCCTCATAAGTTCTATATAAAAACAGACCCAGGATTGCATAATTACTTGGTACGGCTCCCTTACTACCTGTAGAGCCCCTTATCACCTTGATTACATTATTTGTTAATGCATGTGGAGTATAACTTGCTAATGGAAAGTTATACGAAACATTTTTGATATTGTCTGAACTATAATTGTCCAACCACAAGGATCTTGGATAGTTAATAGCTACGTACTCATCAAAAGAAACCTTTTGCATTGAATTGAACACGAAAATACCAAATGTGATAACAATTTCTGAGGCATCTTCGATTTGGACTAAAGTTCCATAATCTTTTGGTGCATAAGTGGAAAATGGGTAAAAACTATTGGCAGATGCATAATATTTTCTAATTTCGTATGAAGTTGGATCAAGATTAAAGCTTGTTGGAATGAAACTCTTCCAATTGACCATAAATGATGTTTCAAAATCAATTTGATCTTCAGTGACATTTGGCGGAATGAAAACTTGACTCAAATTCAAAGTAAAGAAAGCAACTGGAGACAATGGCTTATTATAATTCGAATTTGTCCATGTATATCCTGGTTTCACTGTACTTTCACTCAATGAGAACTCTCCATAGAGAACTGAATCACCTTCGACCATGCAACTAATTGTGCCACCAATATTTGGGAGAAGATAGCTGACAGATTTGGTTGAGTTGAGTGAGTAAATGAAACCAAGAGTACCATTGGTTGGTTGCTGTTGTTGGCATGCAACAACTATTGACATGCAGCAAATGATAAATAGATGACAAAGAATTGCTCGCATGTTTGGTTTAGTATATTTTTTGAGTTGGGAAATACGAATCTTAGCTAATTGTATGAGATTTTCTACACTGGAAGGGGTTACATGTAAATACAGCTGACACTTGTGTATCTTTACAAAAATACACCGGGTTGACAAGTGCAATATTTGATTGTGAATAAAGGGTTACATAGTTCTATTGATTATTATTCATTAAACTTCTACATACCATATTTATTATCTTTAAGAATAATTGAAATGCAAATTCCATTGTTTAGGTTGTAATAGTTTAAATTTATTTACACATTTTCTGCTGGATCAATATCTTCCTTTGCTGGATTTGGAGCACAACAAAAATGTTCATAGCAAGTATCGGTACATAAAAGATGACATGGCTGAGCTTCTTCTCCCTTATTATTTGAAGTGCTTGAAATGAATTCTGGTTGAATAGTGGAGGCATGGATATTAAACTTGTGGAATACCTTTTGAAGTTGTTTGGCAATTCTCATAAATCCTCTATTATTTTCAGTAGTGAGAATGTGAACACTGGCAATTGAGGTCTTTCCAACAAGTTGCCAAACATGCAATTCATGACAAGAAAGAACTCCCTCAACTTCCAAAATACTTGATTTCAATTTAGGAATATCAACATCATGTGGTACAGATTGCAACAAAGTTCTACAAGTTGATTTCAAAAGAGGAATGGCAGTAACTAGAATAATACCACTCATAATAAGACTGAGAACTGGATCAACATAGAGAACCCAAGTGTGTGGATAATTACCATTTTCATCCTTCTTATCAAAGATGAGTAAAAGACCAGAGGAAATCATGACAGCAATGGAACCAAGGAAATCTCCCAAAATGTGTAAAAAGACACCGAAAATATTTTCAGATCTGTGCTTGTGTTCCTTGTGCTCCTTCTTTTCAGTATGTTCGTGTTCATGATGAGAATGGTCATGGTCATGATTATGTTCGTGTTCATGATCGTGGTCGTGTTCTTCGTGTGAATGTTTATGACTATGTCCATGTCCGTGGTCGTGGTCATGATCGTGTCCAGGATGAGGATGATGGCCACAGAACATGACAAGTCCAATCAAGTTAATTAAAAGACCAGCACCTCCAACACACAATACTAATAAAGGATCAGTAATCCTCTCCGGCATGAAAAACCTTTGAATTGATTCCATAATCACATACAACACAACACTGACCAAAAAGACAGCATTAATCAAACCTCCCAATGTTTCAGCTCTTCCAAAACCAAATGTCATTAAATTAGTTGGTCCTTTCTTTGCTAACCAAATGCATGCAGCTCCAACCATCAAGGAAATACCATCGGAAAGCATGTGGAACGAATCAGCCAACAATGTAAGAGACTCGGCCATCACACCAACAGTAAGTTCAGCTAAAAACATGAGTAAAACCATAGTAATCATAATAACCATCTTGACAAAATCTGGTTCCTTCCACAGTGGTTTACTCTTGGAGAGGTAAATTTTCTTCAACGTTTCACCATTCAATTTTACACGATCCAATTCATATTCCATCAATCCACTCGAAGATGTTTTTAAAAGTTGAGTTTGATCCGTTGAATTGTCATCTTCATCATCGTGATGATGTTCATGATCATGATGGTGATCTCCGTGATCATGATGATGATGTTTGTGCTTGTGTTCCTTCGTTGTTGTATTCAAAGACGAAGCGGAACTCTTAGATAAATTAGAAGCCGATGTTGATTCCAACTCTATCGATTCCATTGTTGTTTGTTTTTTTTCTAACTAAAAAATCGCGCGGGTTCGTTGGTTGTTTTTTTTCGAGTTTGAAAAAAAAAATTCTTGCAGATTTTTGTATTATCTTGGGATATTATATTGAATTTTATTAAATTTACTTGGTGGTTGGCAGAAATAGAGTGCGGAATAGGGAGGAATATTGGTTTTTTACCAATTGTGAAGTATTCATTGAGCCAATTGTTACCATTCTTTTGCGACAATTATTTTCGTTATTGGACCCAAATTTGCACCAATTTTTCTCTCTTGGAATTTCCTTCTTTTTGTTGAACGTGTTGAAATTCAAACTACAGTTTTGGAGGTGTGAGAATTTGAATGGAGAATTAATCTTTTATGAAGGTTTTCTCACAAAGATTGGCAAAATTTTGAGTTATCTCTATTGAACTTTCCTGTCAACTATCAATTTCTTACTGAACTTGTTACAAAATCAATCAAAAAAAAATGTATCAACACAACACAAAGGTAGTTATTGACTTGGGTTCTGGCACCATTTCCACAGGCTATGGAATGGACGATGAGCCCACTTCAGACATCAACAAATCTCTGACAGGTCAATCCAGAAGAATTTACTCCAAAATTAAATCAAATTCTTTACTTCCTGATCTAAAATATCCAATCGATAAAGGAATTATCACTCAATTGGACGATTTAGAACTAATGTTGGAACATTTAATTTTGGAAGAAATGAAAATTATTGAAATGAAGGAATATCCGATTCTAATAGGATATAATTCATTGAATAATGTGAAAAGAACGAGAGTGGGAATTACAGAGATTGTTTTTGAGAAATTGGGAGTTCCTGTTTTTGCTTTGGCTGACAGGAACATGTTATCACTTTTGGCATCTGGCAGGACAACTGGATTGGTATTGAAGAGTGGAGATTGTATCACTAATTCAGTTACTATTGATGAGGGCCAAGTGTTAACTCAACATTGTTGTGGTGTGGAATTTGGTGGAAGGGATTTATCTCTATTTTTGGAAAAGTTGATTGAAAATTGTGGATACAAAATTGGAGAAGAATTTGATAGCTCTACAGGGGTCGAACATTTAATTCAGATAAAGCAAAGATTGTGTCAGATTTCAATGGATTATCATTGGGAAACTCAAAGATTTGACATTTGTGATCGATATTATGAAATTGGAGAAAATGGCATTTCACTTGGTCTAGATCAATACAAATGTCCAGAAGCTCTCTTTCAACCTTCTCTCATTGAAAAACCAGAGCTTCCATTCATGAGCTAATTCTCAAATCTTTACAACATCTCGATTCGAAATTCAAGGAAGAATGTCAGAAAAACATTATTCTCTCTGGAGGAAATACTCTCTTCCCTAATTTTACAGAAAGACTCAAGAGGGAACTTAATCTGACACCGTGTAGGGTTGTGGCTCCACCTGAGAGAAAGTATTCTTCATGGATTGGTGGCTCAATTTTGTCATCCATTCAAGGAGTTGATTCAATGTGGATTTTAAGATAATTTTGAATTTTAATAACAATAATATTGTGGAATAACAAAATTAATGCAAGATAATTCTGTTCAGTGGATTAACTACAATAGAACAATGGAGCATTATAACAATCAATACATTTATTTATTTAGCTTTTCACCTCTAATTCTTGCAGCGAGTTGCATATCCTTATGCATGATGGTAACTCTCTTGGCGTGAATTGCACACAAATTAGTATCCTCAAAGAGAGAGACAAGATAAGCTTCAGAAGCTTCTTGAAGGGCTAGGACTGCATTGGATTGGAACCTCAAATCTGATTTGTAGTCTTGTGCAATTTCTCTGACTAATCTTTGGAATGGTAATTTTCTGATGAGCAACTCGGTAGATTTTTGATACTTTCTGATTTCTCTCAAGGCAACTGTACCTGGTTTGTATCTGTGAACCTTTTTAAGACCGCCACTATGTGGTTGCTTGGCAGATTTCCTGTTAATCAATTGCAATTAAAGAAAAATTACAAAACCATGTTAATGAAACTAGTTCAGAAGACAAAAACTTACTTGGCAATCTTATTGGCAATACTCTTTCTTGGAGCCTTTTGCCCAACTCCTCTATATGCAGTTTGCTTGGTTCTGGCCATTTCTATTAGATTGTTGTTTTTGTACAAAGTTTGTTGTTAGAGTTTTTTTTGTTTGGGAAATTTTTGGTGTTTTCAATGTTTGCTTAAATAGCAACAACAAGAAGAGAACCAAAAAATTGGTAATTATTCGGTACTTGTTTTGATTTATTGGTGGTGCTAAAGGAATAAAATGGATTTCCATTGTAATGTCAACAGAAATTTTTAATTGGTGAGATTTTTGGGTTGGAGATTTTGTAAAGTTTTTCATCCTATGGCAAGATTTTCACTAATGAGGTTGAATCACTACCGAAAACTAGTCAATTATTCTTCCTTAATGTTTACATGTTGGGTAGTAATGTAACGGAAGACATTGTCGAATAAATCAATAAAATACTTGCTATTCCATGATGGAAGATTGAGCTCAGCATCGGAGGTGTGGTTGATAAAGTCATATATTAATTTTGACTTTCTTTCAGCTGGGAATGAGCCCGGATCTGTAATAAACTTTTCCACCTCTTCAATCAGGTCCAATTTTTGGCCAATTACTTTTTGTTCTTCTACTGGTGACTCTTCTAGAACTCTTTCGAATTGCTGAATCCAAGATGTTCTTGCAAAGCTAAAATCTTTTACCATAAATAAGGGTATCTTTGTTCCTCCAATTTCAATTTCTTGCTTAGGTCCTAGATCTTCAAATTCAATCAAGTTATTATTCAATTCCTGCACGTATTTGCTTATTCCTTTATCAGAGGAATCATCATAATATTGAGTGTTGGCAGATGTAGTTACATCTTCTTTGGAAGTCTTTGGATTACTAGAGTTGGAAGCAGAATCAAACAACATTAATCTACTCTTGATAGCTTGGACAAAAGCACCTGAAACATAAATTCTGCCACCAACTGATGATGCCTCAATCTTGTTAGCAATATGAACCATATTGCCCACATATTCCATACGTTGCGTCTTTTTGTCAATTTGAATATTGCAATCAGATCCCGCATGTATTCCCATTCTAATTCTAGGACCTCTGTAAATCAAGCTTTCATTCCACCTAACTTCCTTCATATCAGGAAGTAGAAGAGAATCAGAAGGCCAATTGGCCAGCAATAAATCCTTCTGAACACTAATGCAAAAAGCCAGTGCACACAACGGATCAACAAATGCCACAGTGAAACTATCACCTGCTGTCTTGGCCTCATAACCCTTGTACTTTTGAATGTTTGACCTCATAATAATGTTGTGAATAGACAGTACTGATTTCATCGTTTCAGAGGCAGTAGCCCACAAAAGTGTAGAGTTTTGAATATCTGTAAAAACTAGAGTGAATGGTGTTGTTCTTGGGGCATATTTAAGAGATCTCTTTCTCAAATTCTTTCTATACATAAAGTAAAGCACCAAACCAGTAATAAATATAGTACAGAAGAAGAGCGAAATGACAAACAGAGATGCAATCACTATACCAATCACACTACTGGAGGTATCATTATGATCAGATACCCAATAAGCTACTCTTTTTGTGTTATTTCTCAGCCACTTACAAGATGCATCAACTACTGACATTTCCTGAAACACAATATCTGCCAAAATATCTATTTGATCTGTACTTTCATAGGCAAATTTGGAAAAGAAGGAGTTGAGAACCATATCCTCTGTGAGTTTTGGGGAGACCAATTTTCTCAATAACTCTGTTGGATAGTCACAATCAATGAGTTGATTCTCTTGATTGTAAGAGGTCCAACAACTTTCTGAACTAGGAGGAAGGTAAACATTCTTAATAGACAGCTTTTTGAAAATTTGATGAGGATACCAAAGATAGAACAATACTGGTTCTTTTCTATCGTTTGCTTCTTGAATTTTTGAAATCAGAAAATCCTCTGCATTTTCTTCCTGTGTATATTGTATCTGGAGATTGAGCTTGAGATTTGTTATAATTTGTTGATCAAAAGTGATCCAGCTCTTTGCTCCTCCTATAAACCTACCAAGTGGATAGGTATCGTTAGTTGCAAGGTAGTGAGCTGCCTTCTCAGTTCTATACTCTCTGTATTCGTCGATAAGGTCATACTCATCCTTCATGAAACCTAAAATGTACCAACCCAACTTTGCATTGATACCTAACTCACCAACATCTGTCAAAATAGTAATTTGAATTTTTGATTTGAATTAGTTTTTGATATTGTGGTGGATATCAACTTACCCATTATAGTCTTATCATTGACAACATACTTGTCGTATTGAAATTTTCTAGATTCACTCCAAAATTCAAGCATGGCATATGATCTTCTCGTTCCATATTCTGCCATCTCTTCAAGAGCATGAGTTACATTCATTGTTACAATTTCTGCACATATTCCCAACATTTCCTCTAGGACAATCTTGGCAACATTAGCATTTACAGTTGGTCCAAGCCAGTTGAATTGAATCAATTGTAATTTCCTAGAGTTGTCACATTTTCTCGGACTATTAATCAGGCATTGAGTTGCCACATCAGCACTCGATTCAAAACCACCCCTCTGCAAAAAGTCAGTTGCCTTGCTTGCTAAACTATGTAAACCATTCATTGAAAATAAGGAACTGAAGCTAAAATCATTGTATATCGGTTCTTGCCTCATAATTTCCGATTCTCTGCTTAGTATTTCCTTTAGGGCTTGGGGCGAAATGCCAGGTGGTTCCGCCATCACAAACATTATATTATTATGATTGAATTCATAGAAATCATCTTCCAAATATTCATAACGATGATGAAAACCACTTGCTGCATAATCATCAAGTATTATAACGTCACTCATGAATGATAAGACGCACCACACTCCAACTATCAACACGAGTGCAAGTTTGAGCATTGTTTTGAATGAAGAACATGCTGCTGTTGTGCTCGTGTTAGTTGTTATTCTCGTTGAACTCATCCTTTTAGATGAATATAAAGATCCTCCACTTGTTGTTGTTATCTTACTACTCTTTTCAAGGTTTTTCTCATATTTGTCTCTGATGGCCATCAGTAGAGCAAGGGCTCTTCTTTGTCTCTCATTGTATTTACATTGCATGTTGTCGTCCTTATCATCATGTTGTTGTTTGTGATGATTATAATTAGTGCTTGTTGAGCATGTTGTGTTATTAGAGTTGTTAGATGATGTAGTAGAGCAAGAATCAGAGATAATGTTATAATTGGCAGATTCTTCATCAGCCAATAGTGTAGCTTGCTCTTCTTCCATTGTTGATGATGATGGTTCTTCTTCGGTAGATAAATTATTGTTACTTTCTGTATTATAATAATTATTAGATAATAATTTTGCTGAGGATGATGATATTGCTGTAATACTATCATCACTGCTATCATTAATAGGCAGTATGTTATTTAGAATCATTTCCATTAACAATTCATCATTATCTATTTTCTGTTGTTGTTGTTGCTGGTCAGCATGTTGTTGTTCTACTTCTTCATCATTGTTATTATTTTCAATACATCCACAATTTGATGATGTTTGTGTTCCAGTACTATTATCGTTATCATTACTATTATCCGGCTTCTTTGAATACATCATCATCTTGTCTTCATCCAATGAACAATAACTTTCCATGATCTTCCCAAACTCAAAACAACAAAGTTAGATTGGAGAAAATTAAAAAACCTGTGGCAGGAAGAGGAAGCTTTTGTTTTTGATAATTGGTTGTTTGAAAGGATTGTGTTGGCAACAAATCTTGAGTTCTGTGATGGTTGATTTTTTAAATTTGTGTCTCGTTTCCCAAAGCAGAATTAGATAGGAGAAAGCGTATGAGATCGTTTTCGGAATGTGAGATAGTTGAAGTTATTCAAAATGTTGTGGTGGATCGAAAAAGAAAGAATCATCAAGCATGCTTGTGAATGAACTTTCTGGTGGTGGTGGTTGTAGGTCAGGTAATAAAGGTTCATTTGTAGTTGTTGCAGTGTTGTTATCAATAACAATAGTAGTATTGTTGAGAAGGGTGGAATCAAGTTGATTTTGTTGGGTAAAGTATTCCTTAATGAAGTGTTCCAATTCTTGATAGAGATCAGAGTAGAATTTTTGGACGCGATCGAATCGAGTGGAGAGAATACTGAGAGCTCTATAACTTTGATAGATTAATTGTGAGAGAGTGTTTTTTCCTTGGAAGAAATCTGAAACCATTCCCAATCTGATTAAGGACCACAGTCTCAAATGTTGTTTAGCTGCCATGGCAACATGAGACACAACAGCCGCTGGAAGAAATACAAAGAGTGGATTCTCTGTTGCTGTAGTAATATTGGTCGAGTAAGTCATTATCTTCTCCCAATTGTCATTATCTACTGTGAGGTAGGAAGCCAGTTTCATTCCATTCGAAACAATATTTCCCATTAAATCAATTACATTTTTGCGATCACCACTTTCGTCCATTTGTCTCATATGATTGTTCATGAATATGCACACAGAATCAACAGTAGCTAAATGTTCTTCAATTCTGTCCTTATCTAAATGTTCTAATTTTGCACATAGTTCAGCAAATCCATCAACTCCTGTGGCAACATAGACCAGTCTTGGAAACATTTTGGCAATTGCTAGAGGATTATTACAGTCTATATCTTGAGAGGTACTCATAGTCATTTCAATAAATCTAGTCCTGCTTTTTAACCTTTTCATTTGTGTTGTCAACTTGATGTTGGAATTTTCCATTTTGACAATTTCATCCACAAAGGTTTTCAAAATATTATAATATAGAGCTACCTTTCTATAATTTGCATTTGAAGCTTCAAACGAACAAAATAAAAAGTAGACACATCCTACATTAATATCATCAATATTATCAAAATATGGTTGTATGAGTTTCCTTGCCTTATTAAATGATAATTTCGATGCTTCCTTATCTCCTAATCTTTGGTCAATTAGAGCCTGACAACCAAATAAGATTGCATTAATAACATCATCCTTTAACACTCCATTCTGAGCCATATTGTAATAATTTTCAAAATCTGATTGTTGAATTGGTATATCTCTATTTCCAATCGTCAATAATTATTTAAACAATTACTAACAACGTACAATAGACCAAATAAATCAAATGTTGATCTTTTCAATAGAATATCATCGGAATCGATATGAATTGTTTTATAGGGAATTGCTGAAGAGGTTGTTGTTGAATGATGACTACTTCCACTACTACTACTACTAACAGCTTTCTTTGAAGAATTTTTCTTCTTCTCTTCATGAATTTCCTCCACTTCCTTTTCCGATTTCTTTTTTCTTCCCTTCTTTAATGGATCCGAATAGTTACAAACAACTCCCTTTCTCACACAATTAGTACATGAAGGCTTCTTTCTATCTATTTCATCATTTATGATGTAATTATTATTCTGGTCACAATCGGCATCAGCTGATAAATTACATACCACACTTTCTATTTAATTTAATTTAATATTATTAATTATAATTCTAAAGAACCACACACGTACCGATGGTTTTTCCGACAATAGGAACATGATATAGGATGCAATAATTCATCATCTTGTTGTTCTTGTTCTTGTTGCTGTAGGAGGGGATTATCTCCTCCTTCCACATTGCTCTCCAATAAATCATTAAAAAATTCATTCAATTCATCCGTGGTGTTATCTTGCGCCATTTTTTTATTTTGTAAAAACTTGAACGAAAATGGTAAGTCTGAAATAGATAACAGGAAATATTGATACATTGCACTCATATTTTGCATTAAAAACATTTCTACATTACAATTCTAGGTCCAACTTCTTCATATTCCTTTTTGTGAATGGCCATATTGTGGAATTCTGAAAGAGAGCTCGTAATTGAACCTCCAAACCAGGAAGAGTTTTCTTTCGGGGAATGAAAGGATTTTCACTTTTACAGAGAGAGGAGCCAATTCAATGATTGGGAAAACCTTCAAACATTGTTGAGACACCGACAAGGACAATATTGGCAAAGAGTTGTCTTGTGATTTCTGCATTTGAATTGAAAATGGAATTGACGAGAATCTTGTGAATTCCTTCTCCTTCTTTGATTAACTGTGGGTTGAATAGAGCTTCTGGACATGACATTAATTCCTCTCCAAAATTCACTTTGCTTCCATCTGACAATTCAAACCTCCTCTTTGTGAA